CCTCACGAGATGCACCACGGCATGAGAACCCTGATGACCGAAACCAGTCGAGCCTTGGCCAATTACCAGTGGGAGTTCCACCTCCTAGTGAAGGCACGCCAAATAGTGGAGTTGCAGGTCCCTCGGGATTTCGAGCAAGAACGACAGCTCAACTCCCAAGCCATGGAGAAGCTGAACCAATACCAGTTCTATCAGAAACTGCACTTCCGCCAGTACCAACTAGTGGACCGATTCCCAGCTCCATGGGAGGACCTACCCCTCGTACAGATCCTCACGCCGGAGAACTGGAGCGACACGCGGACGCGCTCCTCCAGCGGAACACCATCTCCACGGTAATACAAATGGCCACAGCCATGGCCCTCCAAAGACTCGCTAACTTCTCGGCAGGACAACCCGGGAATGAACATAGCGACGTACCTCGACGACTGGCTAGTGCCAGTCTCCAGATTAGAACGCTCGCCCTCCAAACCGACCCGGACACAGCCTCCTGGTACACCCACAATAACGGGCGACCCCGAGCCCTCCTCATCCACCCTGACGAGTTCTCCCAATACGTCAACCGAGAGCTCCTTCCAGCTCTCCTCTTCGGAGGAGAACTGGGAAACGTCCAGCCAAGCAGAACCGACCCTTTCCGAGTTGTCACTTGGAACGTACCACGTCCCGGAGAACATCCCACGCCTGTACCAAATCCAAGGAGGATTCCGCGTACGATCGTGGAGCGCCCTCCACCGAGACAACGAGAGGTTCCTACAGCGCATAGCCATACCGCGACTCCCCCCTCTCACCGGATACGAGGTTTTCCCCTATCCCAAGGAAATACCGACGAGGAGGAACCGCCCGTCTATCGAAGAAATGAGGGAAGGCGGAGTCGGGGAAGCCAGGCAACCCTCGAACGCGGAACAACTGCTGGCCGGAGTGTTCGACACCGGCCTAGATCGCCTCCTCCTAGTGCTCGATTTCATACGAACGAAAGAGAGGATAACCGAAGTAGCCGCAGAACTCGCCGCATTGATTCGGAGGCTTGAAGAAATAGCTCTTGGACTAGATCCGAGCTCGATGCATGGGATGCTCTAGACGATCCGGGAAATTACGACGAGGCGGACCCCTACTACCGACCTGACGAAGGGGGCGGGGATTATCAAGGACCTTTTGATTATTAAACGGACTAATAACAGGGCATAGGAAGAAGAAAGGGGGTAAGGAAGTTGAGGAACTCCTTCCCCCGACACGACGTCACATCCGAAACGATGTAAAACTACAATCGTCCGCAACGACGTAAAACTAAGATCGTCCCTCAAGACGTTAAACTGTACGACCTCGTCCGAAAGAGACGTTAAACTACCGCGCGTCCGGAATGACGTCTAAACTATCGGACCTGCATGTCTTAAAACTGTGAAAAGATAAGAAGGCAGGGGAAGTACCTGACCATTAGTCCTAGGTTCAAATGATGGTACGAATCAAGGACAACAGCGGGCATAATTCCACGTACGACCTACGGCGGAACCTTTCACATCCTCGCTGTCAAGGAGTTAATCTGACAGATGCATCGAGCGTCCCATTTGGATCCTCAGTTTTACAGGGTTTTTTCCGCATTAGGGAACCCTCTACATGACATATACTCTACTCGTAGGTGTCGACAAGCAGGCCCTTCGCCTTGGTACAGCGAAGTGCCCATACATAACCGGTTGCAAGTCCGAGTCAAGAAATTATGATGCATAACTCGTATCGTGAACCCTCACAGTCAAGGTCTGACTGGTGTTTTGGGACGTCCCACTTTGGATCTCCCGTTTTACAGGATCGTTTCCGCATTAGGGGATCCTACAGCTGGCGCATGAGATGATGTAGAGAGCGGGCCGCCTCTACCTCACAAGTCTTCCTAATGATGCGAGGCCACAAATCACATCCGGAACGATGTAAAACTACCAAAGGCTTGGTCCGCAATGACTATAAACTACTAGGGTCCGCAATGACGTTAAACTAGTCTTCGTCCGAAATGACGGAAAACTACCCTCGTCCGAAATGACGGAAAACTATCCCCGTCCGAGATGACGTTAAACTACCATTGACCAAAGGAGCGTGGTTGCATTCTGGCGAAGCGCGGAAGGACTCGCGTCACAGAACCCTGCCTATAAAAGGTCGAAGCGCTTCCGATATTCACTCGCTTTTCGGTAAAAGAATATCGGGTCGTCTTGGTTCAAATCCAAGCGAGGGGTCTGGGGACATGGAAGAGCAAGCATCTCTTCATGGAGCGCTCAGTCTAGTCCTGGAGTCGAAGTACAAGAAATTCCGCTCCAAGACCTAGTCAGGAGGCAACTAGGACACGTGCCTCGAGTCGAAAATCTAGTAGGAAGGGACTAGATCACGCGACTCTCATCTGGCCCACATAGCGGAAGAACGACAAGAGCGGGCCACTCATCCGAAGTCTATTCCGCCGTCACTCGTCCGCAACGACGGTAAACTACGATGCGTCCGGGATGACGTTAAACTAAGCATTGTTTTTCCACAATATTTGTGGCGAAACAGCGTCCGCGATGACGCTAAACTATTGTCCCTTTCCACATAGGGATTGTTCGAGGCCAATGGCATCGACGTCCGCAATGACGGTAAACTACGGGCATCCGCAACGATGTAAAACTACCGTCCCTTCGTTCTAGGGATTGTGCGTGGCGATCTTGACAAGATACCGCGCGTCCGAAACGACGTTAAACTAGTGCCCCTGAACCTAGGGGTTGTCATTGACGTCCAATCCCCTGGACACCAATGCGTCCGCAATGACGTTAAACTACTTGCTCCCGATCGCATGGGAGTTGTGATTCATCACTCTGGTGCTGAATCGTCCGCAATGACACAAAACTATTTGCTCCTTACCGCATAGGAGTTGTGGATTGACCGCCATGGTGTCAATCGGTCCGCAATGACATTAAACTACGTGCTCCTTACCGAATAGGAGTTGTGGTTGTTGACCAAGACCATGGTCATCAACCGTCCGAGATGACGTTAAACTACTCGTCCCTTTTAGTATAGGGATCATCGGTCGACATCATTCTTGACGAGAATATGTCGACAATGTCCGAAATGACATTAAACTACCCTCATCCTCGGAGGAAAAGCCTATCGTGACTCGAGGGACATAGTCAGACGATAGCCCGCCTAATGCACGGCGTTAAACTGCAGGTCCGCCTACCTCACGGTGTTAAACTGAGCGGTCTCATAACCTTGAGGCGTTACAAGTTATCCGGTTTGATATAGTATAAACCGTCCATCATGCCTCAGTGGAATCTGGAGCGGGTAAAGTCTGGTCTATGGCCCTATGCACACAACCGATGGAAATTCCGGCGTGCAGAAACATCTTTCCCCACAGATACTCCATGTTGATGATGAAGCGCATCCGAAACGATGTAAAACTACTGACGTCCGCAAAGACGTTAAACTACGGATCGTCCGAAACGACGATAAACTACGGACCGTCCCGCATGACGTTTAAAACTGCCAGTCGTGGATATATCTCGCAACCCGACTAATATATCAGCTGTGGTCTTGATGTCTACTCGTGTAAGCGAACGGACAGACTTGGGAAAGGAGTCAGACTCTTCCTTATTCCTCGCTGCACCCTTCAAGTCTAATTCTCTTCACATCCTTGCCTCGAACCCAACACTACACGTGGTATTCCCCACCATAGGCCCACATTTGTGAAAAACAAACTCTGGACGCCGTAAACTGCCTCACCGGAGATGAGTCCACCGTATGGGGACAATACTGCTTGGGATTTGGCTGCAACCTCACCGGAGATGAGCTCACCGTATGGGAGCGATACTGCTTGGGGCGTCATGACTGGTAGCCTGGAGAAGTAGGCCTAAGCCTTCGTAAAGCGATCAACCTACTTGTCCATGGGCGCTGTTATGATCACATTCTATCGGGCCTACACGGCGGTCTATTCCGATACGATCATCACAAATATCACGCGGCCTCACAGGTTGAGGCGTACACCAAGGTACAGATGTTAACCCTGGTCATCCACTCCCAATGGATCATCCCTCATTGGTCGAGTATCACGGGCCTTGTATTAGCAGGCATGGAACGCCGCCTTATAAATTACTCACACGCAGGGCATGAACCTCCTAGTCTCTCCTGGCCGGAAGGAGACCAACGGAGAAGCACAAGAGTAGTCGTTATTGAGAGAGACGACTTAGAGAATACCTACAGATACATATTCGATATTCTCACGCCCTACTTCCCAAAGTAGTATAAAAGGCCCATAGAATAGGCTGACGATCTTCAGTCTATTCTCTTCGTTCAGTACTGTCTTCCTACAGTACCCTTCGTTCACTGCGGTCTTCCTACCGCAGCACCCTCATCCACTGTAGTCTTCCTACTACAGTCTTCATTGCTATATCGCAATACACTTCTGGCTCCTGTGCTACACGTACAGTCGAGACCACCGTTCCACACATCCTCCACGAGTGACCTAGGGAAGAACCTCCTACTCTTGGGGTTACCGACGAGCAGTCGTAACACTAGAATAGACTCTTCTGCCCCTACCTTGCTCGCACTAGCTTGCTGCCACACTCTCTCTCATAACCTTGCTCAGTGGGGACATAGACCCCCATCGAGAAAGCGTTACCGCATACACTCTGGAGCAAGACCTAGGCCAGGAATACCCACCCGGCACTAGACTTATCAATAACCAACTCCGTCACAACAATCGCCCTATCCGGCGCGAAGGGGACTTCTGGGTCTACGAAGACAATAACGGAACTGCCCCTCCGAATTACGATAACTGCTCATACCGAAACGGGCGTTATTACTTCACCCTTGAAGACGGAACAGAAGAAGAGGATATTTGGAACGAAACAGAAGCTCAGTGGGAACTAGCCCCACAATACAGGGAACCGGCGCCGGTAATCCCCGAAGACTCGGAGCAAGAGGAAACAACCTCGGAATCAGACTCCGACTCACCAGACCAAACACCGATCAACACCCGAAACGAACCGCTCGCCAACATGTCGGGACAAGCTTCGACTTCTACAGACCCCCCTTCCGCGACAGTACAACCCGGAAGAGGGAAGGTCAAACTCCTAGACAACTATACAGGCAACCGCATTGAATCCCAGAAATTCATGCTCCAATGCCTCCTTCTTTTCGCAGCAGAATCCGATCGGTACAAGACCGATCAAGACAAGATATCCTTGGTACTCTCATGCATGAGATATGGCACGGCAGGAGCTTGGGCCGAGAACTTCCTCCTCAAATCAGTAGGAGCGGACCCTCCCACTGATCTAGGAACCTGGAGGGACTTTTTAACAAAGTTCAAGCTCCAATTTAGGGAAACGGGCAAGACAGACAAAGCGCGAAGCGCCCTCATGGCCTTCTCCCAAGGACGAATGACGGTTGACGAATACTCCAACCAATTCATTCTCATCGCCACCGATGCCGACATCTCCGACAAGGAACAAGTCCCTTACTTCCAACGCGGGTTAGACCCGCGTGTCATGGACAAAATATATGACAAAGAAGTTCAACCAAAGGACACCATCCAAGATTGGATTAACACAGCCTGCGAAATAGACGGACGACTCAGAGCCAGATCCGCTCAAAAAGCCATCCTTGCCAACTCCACCTCCTTTCGCAGCGATTACCTGAATCGTTTCCACACCCAACCAGCCGTCCGTTATAACTCCACAACTGCCCCTCGCAGAATGAACAACCAGGTGGTTGACATGGACATTGATACTACCAGGAAGCGTAACGCCGAAAGTCAAAAGAGAAAATTTGACGGCAAGCAAACCACCTCCTGTTCTAACTGCGGAAAGCCAGGGCACGCTAGTGCTAACTGTTGGTCGCCACGTAGAGGCGTTCGCCCAGTTCGAGGAAACTCGAAAAGACGCCTGGGTACGACAGGGAGAGGAAACCGCGCGGTTGATTTGGAAGGAGAAGACGACGCACCTGCTATTCTAACCTGAAAAGCTAGAAGGTTCAGGGTAGGACAGGGGTATGGCAGGGCTAAAGAGGCCATTAAGAGGTGAAGAAGCCACCCATGCCAATATACATGGCTGACATGACGAGCCTGTCCGCGGCTGGAGAGGCTCGTCATGTCAGCCGTGTATTGGCAGGGCTGAGTCCTGATATGTGGCTGACATGACGAGCCTCACTGCGGCTGGAGAGGCTCGTCATGTCAGCCGCGTATTGACAGGGATGAGTCCCGATACGCGGCTGACATGATGAGCCTTGCTGCGGCTGGAGAGGCTTGTCATGTCAGCCGCGTATTAGCTTGGCTGAGTCTTGATACGCGGCTGACATGACGAGCCTCGCTGTGGCTGGAGAGGCTCGTCATGTCAGGCGCGTATCAGCTTGGCTGAGTCTTGATACGCGGCTGACATGACGAGCCTCGCTGTGGCTAGTAGTATTACCGACACTTTTGAGTCCACCGATATCCGAAACTACTGTGTTGCCAATTAAATGTAAGTATAAATATCAAAAAATCCTTTCTGTAATTTTCATACCCTGCTCCAACTTTGAGGCCCAGAAGCAGTGAGATTGAATCAGGGGTTCAATAGATATGGATTTAAACAGTCTACCCCCTAAAACCAGACTGTGTGAAGCACAGTCTGGGTTTTGGGAACCAAATCTGAAGTTGCACACAGTTCTGTCTGATTCAATAGGCTTAAAATGTATTTGTCATGGTACCCTAATATTTTCATTAGTAGACATGGAGTACTGAAGATGTTATAGGCAGAATACAGAATTGAGGGAAAACCTCAAAAAACCGAGTCTCCAGTCCACGATTTTCCTTTTATTTCCATTACAAAACTAATAAAATGCTCCTACATACACTACCTTTCAGATTATACCCTAATTTTATTATTTGGATGAGGGGATCGAGAGATATGTAATTGTTTGTGATGTTGAGGGTATTCTGCAACCGGGAGACACAGTTTAGTCAGCATCGGGAAAGGGCGGCACACAGTCGGGAGATTGCGGGCGCACAGTCGTCACACTGTTGTCACACTGTGCACAGTCTCTCTGTTGCGCCACACAGTCCGGCCGAGACCGCACACAGTCCGGATTTTGGCGCTGGTTCAGCGCCACACAGTCCGGATTCTCGGTGACAGTCCGAGATTTGGCGGTGAATCTGTGCCACACAGTCCGGCCGTGCCGCACACAGTCCGTTGATTGTCGCGCCACACAGTCCGACTGTGTCGGCACACAGTCCGACTGTGTCGGCACACAGTCCGACTGTGTCGGAACACAGTCGGAGTTTTCCCTCCGACTGTGTCGGCACACAGTGCCCTCCAACGTCTCGTGATCAAGCACGCCGCCACGTCGCGTCGCGTCGATCCTCCCGGCACATTTGAACATCGAGCACAACATGCTTCCTCGGCCGAGGTCTCTTTGCTCTCTCAGGACATTTTGGATTTCATTAGTGAGCTTTTTCTTCTTCTGAACCCTTCCTCTGCATGCTCTCGACGACGCCAGCAGACAACAGATGCTCAGAGAAAGTGCGCACTGCTGATAGCGTTTTTTCTTACAGTTTGCAGCTGCAATACTCCGGGCACCCACTCCACGCTCTTTCCACACCCTCTTCCATCTCCACGGCTTTCTCTTTTCTCATCAACATCCACGACATCCGTGTCAGTGCCATTCTCTTTAAACGACTGCTCTGCGCCCATCCTGTCTCACGGCGCATGGAGCAAAGCGACTATCTTATCATGCGAGGTTGAGCACGTTGAAGAGAAGAACAAGGAGCAGATGGTGATAGAGGCAGAGGAGGGACAGCGGCTGTCGAGAGACGAGGGTGGAGCGACGGGACGATGGTGACGGACACACGCTCATCGAGCAGGCAGAGCGGTACGACGGTACGTACCTCCTGTTATCGTCCTTTCCGCCTGCCCCTCCCTCGACATCCACGCCTCGAACCCCCACGCATTCGTCTTCTCAGCCCCCTGGCTCCTCCTCGCATGTGTGGACCAACTACTCCTCCCATCCGCCCGCCCCTCCCTCGACTTGCGTACCCTCGACTGTTCGCACTCCCGCCCTCGATGCCACGCACTCCCGCCACCCAGTGCGCTCAACCGCCACCTGTTGCACCACGACAAGAGGCCCAAATTCGCCTCTCGCGCGCTCCCACACCTCCGCGCTTATACCCTTCGCCTTCCCAGTCCTCCACCACGCTTAGCCCTGTGGACCATCCCACTTCTCCATCCACCCACGACTCGCTTGAAACAATGCCGGATCAGCTCAATGTCGACACTTGGTTGCAGGACAAAGCAGGACGAGAATTGGCGGCGCGCTGTCCAGGGCGCCCAGTCGCTCCACGCGGCGTAAAAGTGCCGGTGGACAAGTCATGTTGCAGAAACGGCCGCGTGCTGTCTGCGGCAGCCAGGCTCCCCACAGCCCAAATTCGCCGAAGGTGAATTTGGGCTTGGTGGGGAGCCTGGCTGCCGCAGACAGCACGCGGCCGCCGCCTTCGCCGGCCTCATTTCCTTCTTTCCTCCTCTCCCTCTCCTCCTCTCTCGTGCTCTTGATGCTGACATTTGACATCACGAACAGCCTTCTCGGCAGAACGTTGTCGGACACATGACGCTAGAGGGCCTCAAGCGAGCTAGTCGAGTGTACGATGGCAGCAGAACACGCGCTCTTACTGTTCCAGCAGTCTCAAGAGTACAGTCGCGCAACATGCCCAGGCTTGCAGCCTCATTCTCCCCTTGTATCTTCTATTTGTCGGCCAATAGCATATGCATGTAGTCCGCGCGACTCGTTCCATGTACTTTGCGTGCATATACACCTCCCTCGAAGCTACTTTCTTAGGTGCTCCTCTGTAGCTACAGCCTGTATTATTTTTCTTGTTGTATTTAGATTTATATTTTGAACTCAGGCCCGTTCACCCACACGATTTGTGGGCGAAATTTTTCGCCCGAAGTGGAAGGAGCACCACTCTACCTCGATCGTAATGAACAGCTCTCAATCCAACTCTTCGGTCTATGCTCGTCTCTCAGTACCTCTTCCGTCTCCGCAATCCCTCGTCCACACCCTGTCCGTGCCAATGTCGACATCCTCTGCTAGCCTGCAAGCCAGAGACTTCTCGACAGGCCATCAGCCACATCCTCTTCTTCTACGGGACGATCGGTTGCAAAACCAGCGCAGATGCTGGTCCAGATCTCGACTGCGCCGACTACCATCTGATTTCGTTGCTTCAGCCAGGATCTTAGGAGCCAACTTAGCCAGGAACGCGATAGTGTTAGGCATCTGACACTGAAGAAAGAGATTGAGGTCAAAGAACTGCAGCCGCGCGTTGATTAGCAGGTGCATGTCGCTATCACTTGGTTCCCATCCCGTTTCCCTGTGTCCTCACTCATCGGTGCGCACCAAATTATAGGCGTAGGAATTATCGCATACCCACGAGTCGTTGATCGGCACTCAAATGAGCGAACCGCATCTTGAGGAATGCGTCGCAGAACTTTCACGCCAGCTCCAGGGCAACGAGGAGAAGCTGGCCATGTACGAGCGGCGAAGGCCTGCCAGCGCTCTGGCGAACAATGACGCGCAGCCAGAGGTCTCTGGCACTGATCATCTGAGCAAGGAGCAGCACCTCGAGGCTGAGGTGGCAGAACTTCGGTGTGTTTTGTGCCCTTTAATATCCAATGCGAGGCTTATGGTGCTAACTGACTCATGAACGCAGCGCTGCGTTGAAGGTTGCCGAACTCGACCTGGCGAATGCACGAGGCCATGTGCAGCAGTTCCAAGATATCAGCCAGGCGAATGAAGTAGTGCTAGCGAGCTTGAATGCGACTTATGATAACTACAAGTCATCCACGGAGTCGCAGCTTGTGAAGCACAAGGTATGTTTCGTTGGATGCTGGACATTTGCGTTGATGGCTGACTTGGGTTGTAGTCTGACTATATTGCTCTGTCGGAGAACTTGCACATCGTCCAGCAGGAGCTGACGGCGTCTCGGGAGGCGATGGCGGAGACGAAGCGCACGTTTGACAAGGAGTGGGAGTCGTGGGCGAATGATAAGCGGACACTTGAGGATACCCTCGTCAAGCTGACCATGTCGGAGAAGCAGTTATAAGAGGTGGTAGGCGGATGGTAGGCGAGACGAAAAAAATCCAAGATGTTGGGCAGGTGAGGAGCCAGGTGAGAGGCTAGGTGAAAGGCCAGGTGAGAGGCCAGGTGAGGAGGCAGGTGAGAGGCTAGGTGAGGGGCCAGGTGAGGAGTCAGGTGAGGAGACATGTGAGAAGGCAGGTGAGGAGGCAGGTGAGGAGGCAGGTGAGGAGGCAGGTGAGGAGGCAGGTGAGGAGTCAGGTGAGAGGCTAGGTGAGAGAGTACAGCCAGTGCTGGTGACATGAGGATGTCCCTGACAACTAGCAGTTGTCTGAGACGAGACACAATGTCTCAGATGTTGTGTAGTCGTCACAGATATCTTGCCTGCATCCCAGACGAGACGCAATGTCTCAGCAGTTGTCTGAGACAAGACGCGACGTCTCAGACGTCGTGCAGTTGTCACAGACGTCCTGCCTGTGTCCTAGACGAGACGCGACATCTCAGACGTCGTGCAGTCGTCACAGACGTCCTGCCTGCGTCCTAGACGAGACGCGACGTCTCAGATGTCGTGCAGTCGTCACAGACGTCCTGCCTGTGTCCTAGACGAGACGCGACGTCTCAGCAGTCGTCACAGACGTCCTGCCTGTGTCCTAGACGAGACGCAACGTCTCAGCAGTTGTCTAAGACGAGACGCGACGTCTGAGACGTCAGGCAGTCGTCACGGACGTCCTGCCTGCGTCCTAGACGAGACGCAACGTCTCAGCAGTTGTCTAAGACGAGACGCGACGTCTGAGACGTCAAGCAGTCGTCACGGACGTCCTGCCTGCGTCCTAGACGAGACGCAACGTCTCAGCAGTCGTCTGAGACGAGATGCGACGTCTTAGACGTCAGGCAGTCGTCACAGACGTCCTGCCTGCATCCTAGACGAAACGCAACGTCTCAGACATCTGGCCGTCGTCAGAGACACCTTGTTTTCACCACAGACGAGGGGGGGACGTCTCAGACGTCGTGCAGTCGTCACAGACGTCCTGCCTGCGTCCTAGACGAGACGCGACGTCTCAGACATCATGCAGTCGTCATAGACGTCCTGCCTGCGTCCTAGACGAGACGCGACGTCTCAGATGTCGTGCAGTCGTCTCAGACATTGCGCAGCCGTCACAGACGTCCTGCCTGCGTCCTAGACGAAACGCAACGTCTCAGACATCTGGCCATCATCAGAGACACCTTGTTTTCACCACAGACGAGGGGGGGACGTCTCAGACGTCGTGCAGTCGTCACAGACGTCCTGCCTGCATCCTAGACGAGACGAGATGTCTCAGCAGTCGTCTGAGACGAGACGCGACGTCTGAGACGTCAGGCAGTCGTCACAGACGTCCTGCCTGCGTCCTAGACGAGACGCAACGTCTCAGCAGTCGTCTGAGACGAGACGCGACGTCTGAGACGTCAGGCAGTCGTCACAGACGTCCTGCCTGCGTCCTAGACGAGACGCGACGTCTCAGACATCATGCAGTCGTCACAGATGTCCTGCCGGCGTCCTAGACGAGACGCGACGTCTCAGATGTCGTGCAGTCGTCTCAGACATTGCGCAGCCGTCACAGATGTCCTGCCTGCATCCTAGACGAGACGAGATGTCTCAGCAGTCGTCTGAGACGAGACGCGACGTCTGAGACGTCAGGCAGTCGTCACAGACGTCCTGCCTGCGTCCTAGACGAGACGCGACGTCTCAGACGTTGTGCAGCCAGTGCTAGTGACATGAGGACGTCCCTGACGACTAGCAGTCGTCTGAGACGAGACGCAACGTCTCAGACGTCAGGCAGTCGTCACAGACGTCCTGCCTGCGTCCTAGACGAGACGCGACGTCTCAGACATTGTGCAGTCGTCACAGACGTCCTGCCTGCGTCCTAGACGAGACGCGACGTCTCAGATGTCGTGCAGTCGTCTCAGACATTGCGCAGCCGTCACAGACGTCCTGCCTGCGTCCTAGACGAGACGCGACATCTCAGACGTCGTGCAGCCAGTGCTGGTGACATGAGGACGTCCCTGACGACTAGCAGTCGTCTAAGACGAGACGCGACGTCTCAGACATCAGGCAGTCGTCACAGACGTCCTGCCTGCGTCCTAGACGAGATGCGACATCTCAGATGTCGTGCAGTCATCACAGACATCCTGCCTGTGTCCTAGACAAGATGCGACATCTCAGACGTCGTGCAGCCTTCTAGATAACAGCAGGTCCCTCAGACAAAGTCAGGTCAGATTAGGTGAGGTGAGGTGAGGTTACATACAGTCGGCATTGACAATACGAGGTATCTCCGACAGCATACAGCCATCTCAGGCAACAGCAGATGTCCTAGACAATAGATACTAAGAGGGACCAGGGAAACATACCGGTAACAGAAACCACACATGAGGATATAGATGATTAGCAGGCAATGTGGACAACGGGCAAGCAATCTAGTTGGATAGACAATACTTAAACAACACAGATAATACAGACAATATGTGTATGCAGTTCGACAGCCATCTTCCCTCAGTGCCCAGGTCGGACTCATCGGTACATCTGGCATGTCTAGAGTGCTGTGCATGAATCATCCGCATCATCTGCATCGTCTGAGTGGTGTGTGCTAAAGAAGAAAAACAACGAGGGGTGACCAGGCTTAGCATCGAGGGCGGAAACATCGAGGGCTGAGTATGTGATCATCGGGATGCCACAGTCGAGATATCTGCGTGGGTCGAACAGGAAAGCGGGAATGGCGGAGAGCGAGTCGAGCGGGAGAGCAGGCGTGGCGCCAACCAGGTTGAGACAGAGGGCAGGCATGTGTTGCATTGACGGCGGTAACATACGAAGTCTATGGTCGAGAGTCGAGGAAGTTAAGATGGCCGAACAGGCAGAGTGGGAGTGGTGTCGAATGGGTTGGGAGGGGGAAGCAGGAGAGTGGGAGTGGTGGCGAGGGCGGACAGGACGAGGGCGGAAGGTATGTACCTTCGCACCACTCAGCCGCGTCCTTCCTAGCTCACCTCCCCGCCAGCAGCTGCTCCTCGCTCCTTCTCGACGCGTTCAAGCGCAGGCGCAGAGCGCAAGTGTGGCGGGGCGGGGGCGCGTGAAGGAACGGCACCGAGGCAGAATCGGTCGAAGGGGTCATGGAGGCCGAGTGGATGCGTTTGATGGGCCAAGGGGACGGGCGTGATGTCGAAGGGATGTGCACGGGCGGGCGTGAGCTACAGGCGAAGACGAGCACACATGTAGATCCACGCAAAGGCGGGTGCGTGGTGCCGGTGGGACGCACAACGGGCGAGCGTTGGCTACAGGCCAGGGTGCGCGTGCGTGTAGATCCTGCCAAATGTGGGTGCGTGGCGCCGGTGAGACATGCACGAGTTCGAGCGCAGTTTGACGGGAGAGCGGGAGAGAAGGCGTAGCGTCGAGCTGGTCGAGCTGGTCGAACAGGTGAGTGGGGAGTGTGCGAGGCAGAGAGCAGGCGTAGCATCGAGCAGGTTGAGCGGGCGTTGTCTCGAGAAAGGGCCTGAGGATCGAAGGAAGACGAACAGAGCGAAAGGGAAAGGAAAGATGTGCACCGTGCTCCGGAAAGCGGGCGGACGTGCTTGGCGGGTTCGCCGAGGAGGTTCGTGCACAGCTTCATTTTGTACCTATACAGCATCTGCACCAGCGGCACGCACACGTTGCGAAAGGGCTCGTGCCTGCACATCTGGCGGCGAGCAGCAGGGGGTCGTCACCGGGTTACGACGACGCAGAGAGGACAGAGACGTCTGTAGTAGCCAGACCCACACCCGCACAGACGAGAGCACAAGAAACGAGAGGGTGGGCTACACTGGAGCCAACACACAAGCACACATCGCATAACCGCAACTCGATAGAATAGGAACACAGCGTCCTTGCAATCTGACAAGACCTGTACACATGGTGCACAGGGCGTCATCGGCAGCAGCGTAGCATGCCCAGCCGCCGGGTGAGCGAAGCGCTCAGGCCATCATCAGCGACGGCTTGTTCTGCGTTGTCCACATGTCGGGCATCTTCCAGGAGTGCGCCACGGTCGACTTGTCGATGCGTCCCCGATTGGGGTCAATCTACGTCAGAGCTATGAGCACGAGTCGGAGAGACGGACCCGCAAGCAAGCGCAGTACCTTGATCTCGGTAACATTCCAGTCTTCGACCCCGGGGTTAGACGGATCGTTCGTCCACGACATGTACACGCCCTTCAATGCAATAGCACTGTGCAAACAAGAATAAAAATAAACCAAGCCAAGCCATCGTGCTAAGCGCGAGACTCACCATGATGGAACAGGCTCAGCGGCTCCTTCCACATGTACCACCGGAACTGCCATGCCTAGCCTGTCGTCATCACGCACACGACACGGTCCCACGCATCCGCGCCGAACTTGTTCAGCGCGTCGACGCTGTCCACGACGTAGTAACTCTGGTCGTCGTCTCCCGCCCCGAGGGTCGATCGTCGTCCGCCGGCGATACACAGGAATCAGGTCCTCTGGGCGCGTGTTGCCCTCGGCGGCTGCGTGCGCACGCGTATGAAGGAAGAGGGAGGGCGGGCATACAGGGCGTCTTCGAGAAAGCACTTGACCTTGTGCATGGTGATGAGGATGGTCGGGGAGGAAGATATCATGATGATGGGGTAGTAGGTTTCTGTGTGCACGAGGTCAGCGTCGGGGCCGTTTCTATATGGCAAAGACTGCGCGGGGAAAGCGACACTTGCTTTTTCTGCGCACGAGCAATTTGCGTCTGGAGCGTGTCATGCAAGGCGTGTCAGTGAAGGAGGCAGACGAAGTGGTGGGAAGCGGGGCGAACCTGAGACAGCGGGGATCGCGGTGGGGGCTTTGCCTGGCTTCTTCGCGTCCGTGATGGCCCTCCGCTTCGCAAAGCGAGCTGGATCGACGTTGGCTTTGATGTCGCACAGGACGATGGTGCGATCGCGCAGCTCGACCTCGCCCTGCCGGATCTTCTTGACGATCTCGAGGCCGTGCGCGTCCGCGACGTAGCGCTGCTTCGCGGGCGAGGTGGTGCTCTCGACAGCGCCAGCCGCATGGTGGTGCGCGTAGCCGGAGGGGGAGGATGGGGTTCGCTCGTGCGATGCGTGTGCGGCGGTGCGCAGCGTCGAGTGGGCGTGTTTGGAGAACAAGGCGTCGGGCGGTAGGGCACCGGGGAGCGTGGTCGTGCCCTCGCCTCCTAGGAGGGAGCAGGGGAAGAGATGCGGCGTGAGGAGCCGCTTCCGGGTGTGCGCAGGTGCGCGGGACAGGCAGGGCTGAGCAGGGAGGGGCAGGATTAGGGCTGGGGGAGGGCTAGCAAAAGTAAGTGATACGGACCTTTTTAATGGCATTCCTCTTCGCACCTCCTCTTCTCATTAACAACGCTCCTCACCCTCGCCGTCGATGCGCTGAAGCACGGGTAGCGTGACGATTGCGACACGCTGTGCGCAAGGGCGAAGCGCGGGTGCGGCGGCGGCAGGGGCTCGTGAGGGAGCGGTCGAAGGGGTTGTTGTGGCCGAGTGGACGCGTGTGCATGGGGCCGAGAGGATGAGAGGACGAAGGCGAAAGAAGTGGGTGGTGGGTGTGCATGGTGTCGAGGCGAGGGCGAGGGGACGAAGGTTGAGGCTTGCGTGCGGACAGAGTTGAGTTAGAGACGGGTGCGAAGGACTCAACTACGCGTCGCGCGCACGCGACCACTTAATTAAGCTCGTGACTCTCGTCCGCCTCAACCCCTCACTCGTTCCCTCGGCGTCGTGCACACGAATCCCTTCGACCCCACGCCTGCGCCAATGACTGTCTCGTTCGGTGTGTTCCACGGTTTCCACAGCGGTGGCGTCCCGCTCCACCAGCGCCTGCGTACTTGCGCGGCTCGACGACGCGGACAACCACGACAACGAAGAGGAGGACGAGGAGGAGTAGAAGAGGGAAGGTTACGGTCGACGAGGACATCTACAAAGGTACGTCGCCACTCGCCCCAGTTCCTCTCCCGTACGCGTACACCTCCCGCCTTCTACCTAACTCTCCATGTCGCCTTCAACAATCTACCCCTCGACTCTACCCGCCCCCTCCTCTCGTCCGCTCAACCTCTCTCACGTCCGACCCGCTCTCCCGTCCGACCCGCTCTCCCGTTCGACCCGCTCTCCCGTCCGACCCTCTCTCCCGTCCGGCCCTCTCGACCCCATCGCTCGCTGTACTGCCCTCCCCGCTCTCCTCGCACGATCTCATGCCCACTGGCCCACCGGCCGGCTCGCCCGCATCGTCCGTATCGCCTCGCGCATCGCATGCGTTACCCGGACCCACGCTCGACTCACCCGCATCTCCCACTCGACGTCGCGCTCGCCTGCTCGCTACAGCTCGACACCACCCACCATCCTAGCATATCCTCCTCCTCCTCCACCTTCGTCAACACCTCTGCCTCCGACGCCTCGTCCGCCGTCACCACCACCACCACCCACATCACCACCACCACCACCACCTCCTCCTCCACCTCCTCACGCCGCTCCTCCGAGTCCTTGCGCACCATGCCCAGCGCCAACCGCCGCGACCGCGACCGGACCTCGCAGGACTGCTCCAAGTCGATGTCCGCGGCGAGCACCGGTCACATACATGCCGCCCTCCTCGACCAGGCCGCCGCTGCCGCATCCGCATCCGCATCCGCATCCTCGCGCACTGGCCGGCCTTGCCTTCCCCCGGCGTCACGCCCCCCTCCACCCTTGGCTGCTGTATGAGCGGTATAGGACGGGGAAGCTTCTCGCACGACGTGCGACGCAGAAGATCGGCAAGGAGGAGACGCGGCGGCTGACGCGCCCCCATCGTCTACCCTGCACTCCTCGCCCGCGTCGCCGAGGCCTTCCGCGCGCGCGTTCTTGAGCGGCGACATGCCTTGCCTTTGCGCACGCGCTCAGCAAGTTCATCCTGCCCCTGCACCCCGACTCGGCGTCCATGCAGGAGAGCGGCTCCTCACCCTCGCACGACCCCTCCTCCACCGACTCGCCGCTACCGTCGCTAGGTGACCCCGAGCGCGACGACTCAAGATGCACCCTGCGCTCTGCTCAGACGCGCTACATGCGTTCGAATGTGTCAACAAGGAGGACAAGGGCAAGCTGGCGGCGGAGAGACAAGACGGGAAAGGGAGGGCTGATTGTTACGAGGGTATGTGCCTCCTCTCGTGTTTCTTCTTGCCCCTCCCTTAACATTTCCGCCGCACGCACGCATCCCCTCGAACTCATGCACATGCGTCCTCTCTCCTCTCAACAGCCTTGAAGCCTACGCACCTTGGACCGCGCTGCTTCACTGTCTCAAGGCCGACGTCCCGTCCTTCGACCTCACGCACCGCCGCCACGCACTGTCCCTCCACTGACGGCGACCCCTGTCCTCGTCCACACCTACGCCCACATTCACTGCCGTCTGCACCCCCGGAGCGCACGCTGCCTGACGACACGCAAAGGATCGCGGCCGTTCGAGTGTGGACGAGGAGGATGAGACCCAGCTGGTGGTACATCGTCATCTCTTACTCCCGTTGTACCCTCGTCCGGTCTTCCTCTCATCCACTCCTGCTCGACCCTGTCGACCTGCTTGCCCGACGCTCTCAACCCGCTCGCTCGCTCTCGTGCTCGACCCACTCGGCACCACGGCCACTTGCTCGTGTCCTCTACGTCCCCTCCGCACATCGTCTGCATTGCCCGGACGCCACTCAACACGGCCGGACTGCGTGCTCGAGGTCATGGGCACTCGTGTGCTCGGCTCGGTCAAGTGGTGATCCGGGATCCGGGATCGTCCCCTCAGGTCCACGCGGGCGCTTTCGCCTGGGACTGATATCCGCCCCCACGCTCGTCTCCTCGACACCACTCACGGCCGCCTACTCGTCTTCTCAAACGCCTCGACGTTCAGTCCCTCGAACCCCCAACTGTCGACTGCCTGCAGATCGGACGCGGCGCCTCGTCGAGGACAAGGAATGGCTGGAAGGAAGATACGAGGTGGGAAGAGGGTTGAAACGGACAACGAGGACATGCACGATGGATGGGAACTCATTGAGCAAGCCGGTACGTCGTGGTTTGAAGGTCGATCTCTTCCTGGCTGTGTCGTCTCTCAGGGGAGTTTCGCCCTCTCCCGGAGATGGGTATCCGCCGCGCTCGTGTTGTGAATGTGCCATGCCCGCTGACCCGTTCTCCGGGACGGCAGGCAGGCTGCTCGATGGGCTCGGACAGTACGCCCTTGTTCTCGTTGACGACCATAGCCACAACCCCCCCGACACTCAGGGTTCGTTTCCTCAGGCCAGACTCGTCCGGTACGTAGGTCCGAGTGTCGAGGTCCATCAAGCGGCTCAATGGCAAGGACGCACGGATGGTTGGTTGCTCGCTCCGTCGAGGGTCTGGACCACGACCACGCTGTGTCGTCAAGGAGGTCGAGGATGAAATTCTCCTTCGAGCGCACGCGTGTTCTCGACGCAAAGCGAACACCACTAAGATTCCGACGTCCCTCCGTCGTCGTTGTCGTTCGATGAAGGGAAGATTGCGTTGGACTTAGACTGCATGCTCGGGCACGGAGAATTGCGAAGGTCAGGGGACTCGGGGTTGAGCGTGTGGACTAGGAAGGTTCGGAGCAGCTGGTGGCGGAGAAATGAGCTAGGCAGAGGAAGGCTGAGCGTTACCAAGGTTCGTACCTCTCGCTCTCGCCCTTTCCACCCGCCCTTTGCTCAACATGTGCCCCGCAACCTCTGCAGCCTCCTTGTCGTTATGGCTGCTCGCTCACTTGACCTCCTCGTTAGACAATCCCACCCTGATGCATGCACGTGCGACCCCTCGACGACAGGAACCTGCCTTCGCCTGCGACCCACAACCGCCCGCGCGTCCCCTTGATCCCACACCTGTCTCCTCTAGTCCACGCTCGCTCGCCACCGAGTGCCTTCGACTGCATCAACCCCTTGGGCCCACGCACCCGTCTTCGCCTGCGACCTACATCCGCACTCGTGCGTCTCGTCAAGCCCATGCACGCATTCTAACCTGAAAAGCTAGAAGGTTCAGGGTAGGACAGGGGTATGGCAGGGCTAAAGAGGCCATTAAGAGGTGAAGAAGCTACCCATGCCAATACACGGCTGACATGATGAGCCTGTCCGCGGCTGGAGAGGCTCGTCATGTCAGCCGCGTGTTGACAGGGCTGAGTCCCGATACGTGGCTGACATGACGAGCCTCGCTGCGGCTGGAGAGGCTCGTCATGTCAGCTGCGTATTGACAGGGATGAGTCCCGATACGCGGCTGACATGACGAGCCTCGCTGCGGCTGGAGAGGCTCGTCATGTCAGCCGCGTATCAGCTTGGCTGAGTCTTGATACACCACTGACATGACGAGCCTGTCCGCGGCTGGAGAGGCTCGTCATGTCAGCCGCGTATTGACAGGGATGAGTCCCAATACGCGGCTGACATGACGAGCCTCGCTGCGGCTGGAGAGGCTCGTCATGTCAGCCGCGTATCAGCTTGGCTGAGTCTTGATACACCACTGACATGACGAGCCTGTCCGCGGCTAGTAGTATTCTAACCTGAAAAGCTAGAAGGTTCAGGGTAGGACAGGGGTATGGCAGGGCTAAAAAGGCCATTAAGAGGTGAAGAAGGCATCCATGCCAATACACGGCTGACATGACGAGCCTGTCCGTGGCTGGAGAGGCTCGTCATGTCAGCCGCGTATTGGCAGGGCTAAGTCCTGATACGTGGCTGACATGACGAGCCTCACTGCCACTGGAGAGGCTCGTCATGTCAGCCGCGTATTGACAGGGCTGAGTCCCGATACACGCCTGACATGACGAGCCTCACTGCGGCTGGAGAGGCTTGTCATGTCAGCCGCGTATTGACGGGGCTGAGTCCTGATACGCGCCTGACATGACGAGCCTCACTATGGCTGGAGAGGCTCGTCATGTCAGCCGCGTATCAGGACTCAGCCCTGCCAATACGTGGCTGACATGATGAGCCTCTCCAGCCGCAGTGAGGCTCGTCATGTCAGCCACGTCCTATTCCTCCTCTCCTCGCGTTCTTTTTCGCGGTCTACCTTGCACTCTTACTCTTCGACACCCGCCTTGTCTCACTCCCCCCGGCGACGCGCTTCGGTCAGGTTATTGCGAGTGTGGGCTTTGGATGCGACGTCTCGCAGAACCGCACGCTGAAGACACTATGGGCGCGCGATGTCGCAGACCCGCCAGACGAGAACATGTATCAGTGCAGGCGATTCTTATATTCCTCCCTCAAACACTGCTTCAACGTATCCACCGTCACTCCCCAGTCGCGCGGCGTCTTTCTGTCTAAGTAGGATCCCGCCGCCTCTACCTTATCAACATTATCACCAAATCTTTGACTGCCTACCCTAGCACTGCCAACACGGACACCCTCCTCGCCGCTTATACAGCCTCCACGAGCACGCTCTCGATCTCTTGATATTCTCCGTCCTGAGGGCCGTCATCGCACATTCCGAAGTCGTGGTCGGCGCGCCCGCGTGAGAGCCGATGTGGGCATATGGGTTCCGCCTATGTTGGTTGGTCTACACAAACTGTTGAGAGGTGCGGGAGCAGATGTGCACGATGTGCAGGGTGGCGGTTCCTCTTGAAGGTACGTTCACAGCTCTTTGTGCTCGTGATAAGTGCTCGTGCGACGACATGGATTGTGTGGTTCATTTTTGGAGGGTAGTTAGTTGATTGGGGGCGCACGCCGTGAGCCACGTCTCGGCTGTGATCACGGAGATCGGGCGCACGGTGTCCATCCGCAGGGCGATCAAACAGGAGCTAGGGCAGTACACGCCCGCCCCAGCATCAGCATCGAACGAGTTCTCGCCCACCCTGTACTCGGTCGAGGAGGCAAAGCCGGCGGCGCCTGTGCAGCGCGCGAGCTCATCGTCGGCCTCGAACAGGCGCGTGGACCACCCAGAGGACCACTACCCGCTGCAGCCCAATCTGCTCCGCCAGCAGCCGCCCTACTCGGCCGAGTCGCCGTCGAGGCGTCTGCCATTGTCAGGGCGCTCGTCGGGCGACAGCCGCTTCCGCAAAGCGTCGTCAGAGTGCTTAAGCTCCGCGGGCTGCTTGCCGCCGCCAATCTTTGGTTAGGTGCCCACGGGGAGCACAGCGGGCATGCTCAGCAACGACTCGGCGGTTGCGGAGGGCTCCGAGGATGCCTGCACAGAGCTTAAGATAATACTTGTCTTCTGATGGTTCATTTACCCCGCACTCACGCTTTTTCACAGCCCTCTCTCGAAGCGCAGACTGAATCAATCGTCTACACCATCCAGAGCGTGCTGTCCGGTGTCCGCTCGCCGACGCCCTCACCGATGCCCTCGCCGACTGTCAACGAGAACCTCACGCAGACTATCACGATCGTGTCCAGCATCGTCGCCGTCTGCCACGACAACCTTCCGCCCGCGTCGGCGCAGCAGGGGAACGACATCCTGCGCGAGCTCAGCAACCACGCGAACAAGCTCAGCGAGGTCCAGGCCATGCGCGACAACCTCGGACAGGGTTGACTCCGCGTGGCGGCATTTTCGACGTCGAGTTCGGAAGCCATTCCCATCCCTATCCCCATCTCTATGCCCATGCTCATCTCTCCATCTGTCTTCTCGTCGTCCATCTGGAAGCCACGCTCGCTGTCGGCCTACCGCCGACTGCACACCTCACAAGTCCAGTGCCGCTGTCGAACGACTGCTCCAGCGCTAAGTTCTTTCGGCTGCTCAGCACGTCCGCGTCCTCGCAGTGATACGGCGAGTTGTCTCTGCCTGTGATCATGCCCCCGTCGCCGTCCTCCGCCCTTTTCCAGTCGCATAACCGACTGCTCAGTGCCTAGTGACAAGCTGGATGCTTGAGCGCGACGCCGACGTCACGCTCTGGATGAGCGGCTGCGTGCGCATGTGGATCCCGTGCAACTGCACTAGCAAACTCGCCTGATGTTCCACTAAATTTGCTGAGCACTCAGACTGTGGCTTAGTTCTCTTTGCGTTGCTAAGCAGACATGAGAATTAGTGAGGAGATTAACGATGTATACACGCGTCAGAATTCCAGGCTGTTCAACTCTAAGCAGTTCAGCCTTTAACGCTTTCCATGTCTGAGGAGCGTATTAATGGTATTGCCTCCTGGCTCGAATCTCTGCTCGAGCCCTCGCGCAAGCTCCACGCCCGATAGGCTGCCGCGTAAAGCACCATCTCCATGTTGAAGTCGAAGTTTTCCTCGCCTGAGTCGCTCGTCTAGACGTACCAGACCGTGTCACCGCCAAGACCCTGTGCATGCTCGACGCCACTCTTGCCCGCCCTATCGTTCCACCATGAGCCTCTCCATGCCTCGCCCCTCCCCGCCCTTGTCCCCCCTCAGTGCACGCACCCGCCTGCGCCTGCGATCCGAAGCCGCGTGCGTACGTTCCCTCGTCCCCTCGAGCCCACGCCCATCTCCTCGAGCCCACGCCCGCCGCCTACTTAGTACCCTCGAATCTCTACACCGTTGATGTTGACATTCACGCTCCTGCCTTCGAGTCCATGTGCGCACGCGTGTCTTCCTCTCCACGTTATACCTGCGCCACTCAGTACCCTCCTGCTTATCACCTCCAGCCCATGCTCGTGCGTCGCCTGGACCCTCCACGCTGCCCCGCTCTCGTCGCACTTGTGCTCAGCGCCCGCACACAAATTATCGCGAAGAGAATGCCACGCACGCTTCAGTGCGTCGACGAGGAGGGTGAGGCAGCAGAGAGATGAGCTAGGAAGACGAAGGCAGGGCATTATCAAGGTCCGTACAACCCGCTCTCGTCCTTTTGGCCCGCCCTTTGCTCGCAACCTCTGCGGCCTCCTTGATGCCATGCCCGCTCGCTCACTCGACCTCTTCGATAGTCAATCCCGCCTCTGATGCGTGCACATGCGACCCCTCAACGCCACGCACCCGCCTTCGCCTGCGACCCACATCCGCCCGCACGCGTCCTATCGATCCCACACCCGTCTCCTCTAACACATGCCCGCCCGCCGCCGAGTGCCTTTAACCCCCTCGACCACTTGGGCCCACGCATTTATCCTCGCCTGCGACCAACATCTGCGCCCACACGTCTCTTCCAGCCCCGCATACACGACCTCTCGGCCCCTCCTCTCGTCGACCCTCATTCATTCCTCCATCGTCCTGCCTCGTTGCCAAGACCTCACACTCCACCCCGCGCACGCTCGACCTCTCTTTCGTCAACCGTCCCGCCCTCGACCTAGTCTAACTGGCTGGCGGCAGAGCAAGAGAAAGAGGAAACAGCGGCAGCGGCGGAGAGGTGGGCTAGGAAGAGGGGTGGGCATGGACGATGGGGACGTCCGTCCGCGACGCATGCACACTCGCTGAGCAGGACGAGCGTCATGAAGGTGCGCTGTCATCTCTCTTAGGTTAAGCTAGGTTACCCACTTGCCGCCTCGCAATCGCAATCGTCCACACGCGCAGCCCACGCACGCAAGTGGCGCCCTCTCTCCCCCGCCACCCGTCCTTCACACGCCCCCGTTCGTCATCGCACGCTCATACTCCCACACAGCCATCTGTCTCCGATAAATAAGACACCGTCATTGACCCGCCGTCCGAAAACGTGTGTGTATGTACGCATTCCTCTTTCTTACCACGCTTGTTTCACGCGCGTTCACCTCCACGCTCCTCCAGTCGGCATCGCAAAATGATTCATTCCAGCCCGGTACATACGTTACAGCCCGATATGAACGAACGGAACCTGCGCTCAAATGTCAGTCACTTTCCCACCCAACATCGCGGATCGCTTACCCAGCGGAACAGCTGCGCCCCCGACCGCTGCAGCGTGCGCGCCGCCCGGTGCACCCCAACGGCCGCGTCAGACGACCGTGCAGCCCGGGTGCCGTCTCGGAACATGTACTTGTACACCTCCCTCGCCACAACAGGCCCGTCATCGCTCCCGATAGAATACATCATCGCCATGATCGACCTGAACCCCGTCACCTGCAGCGCCGCCGCCAGGCTCATCGACTCGCTCCGCGCGACAGATCCCACCACCGTGTGGCACGCGCTCAGGTATGCAAAGTCCACCTGCGGCAGCTGCGCCTGCATCAGGGCCTCGATGTACAGATGCCCGACGTGGCCCAGGTGAAACGTGCTCAGCAACGGCTGTTGAGCGTCGATGGTCCCGTGGCAGCAGAGGTGCACCCAGCTGTGCGCCCGCAGGTCGCCTAGCACAGCGGCTGACGAGACCGCACCGTCGACGAGCGCGGTCACAGGAAGAGACGCATATTCTTGCAGAACCTCGATCTCTGTCTTTGCGCAAGGCAGATCACAAAACCCGGCCGTTTCGCTCTGGGCCACGGCTAGGATCCTGGCAGACTCAGCTCCTGCGAACTTCCTCGCGCGGAGGAGGGCCGCGAGTGTAGGCGTGTACGACGACACGACGATGTCGGGCAAATTCAAGCACCCGTCTTCGTATGCTCCCGCCGCGTGTATGGGCATGTCTGCCGCCCCAGCCATGCACCAGAACAGACACTCCGCGATGGGATCGAGCGCACGTAGCTCTTCGATTACGGGCTTGGCGATCGTCTTCCAGAGAAGTCGCAAGGTATTCAAAAGCACAGAGTCCATGGTGCGCATGGTGTCCGCAGCGGGTTCTTCCTCCAGAGACCCCGCAGCGAACGCCAACTCTTCTTGCGCGCATTTGAGCTGCCGAAAGTCTGCGTCGGACAGAGGGACGTGGTGGATGTCATAAGCGGCTGTCAGCACGAGCGCGTCGCAGCGGTTTTCGCATAGGTTCACGACCACGGCCGGCCCATCGCGCGCGATCCCCTCCAGGTCCGCAAATCTCATCAATCGCATGAACTCGCCGAGCCCGTCCAGCCTTCTCACTTCAGCAAGCAAGTCCTCGTACCTCTCCGCGAGCTCGCGGTGGTGCCGCTCCGTGCGACCAGGATCCCCGATGCTGTCGATTGTGGCAAACGTGTAGGTCATAGATTGTGTGCGCATGATGCCGTCGAGTTCACCTATCGTCTTGGACAGTCGACCCGCGAGGGCAGGCGAAACCTGGTACAACTTGTCCATCGACGGCCGAAGCCGTAGCGTCTGCTGCCAAACGACGGACCGGCCATGCTCCAGCAGCTCTATCGCATGCTCCAGCTCCCCCTCTCGAATCGCGTGTGCAGCCGCGCGGGAGCTTTCGATCGGGCTCTTCGCGAGAATGTCGTGCGTGCTCCGAAGATGGTGTATGTCGCTCGAGGAATGGTCGGGGTTGTTTCTCGCCTCATGCATCCTGCGGTGCGTGTCTTGATGACTGTGGGTATTGACTGACCCTCGGAGAACGTGGCGCATACGGAATACAATTTGAATGGGCAATTCATAGCCCAATGTTGAAGTTGTATATTGAATGCCGCCTATCATGCGACATCGGCGAGCTAGAAGATGGCATGTTCCATATCAACGACTGACTGGCTGACCATCTGATCATGAATTTGCCAACAATGTCCAGGTCAGCGTGCTGCAAAGCGAGGTACGGACCGACCTTGAGCAGCAATTGTTGATACGACATTACATATGCCTCCCGCCGAGGAGATATACTCGTATCTCCCTCCATGCATACGTTATACATTCCGCAAACTCTTCCATTGGGCTACAGAAAAAAGCAGAGCACACACCTGCTCGCCATGCATAGCTAAAACTAAACTCAGTACGCACACAAGTGCTACGGCTACAACGACGGCAATACACTATCACCAACCTTGCGATCGGTCGGATTCCAACAAAGCACAGAACCGCCAACTTACGGCCGGCTCAAGAGATACAAATCCTCCACGCGCTGGAGCTTAGGAGAAAGGCCTATTCTTCTCCGCTGTCGCTCGCAAACTCGACAGCCTGGTACCGTCTTGCTTTCTTGTTCGGGTTCGCAAGGGATGCGCCCCTCCTAGCCGTCTGCGCGGGCATGACCGAGCCTAGACACCACCACGCTCAGCGATCAATCGATCGATCGATGGAAGGAAGCAAAGGGACAGGAAGAGCAACGGGTGCTTACGGCTTTGCAGAGCGCTCGTGCTCCCGCCGAGGCCGAAGCTGCCGCCCTGGCTTGTGATGTTCATGCCGCGCGCCTTGGAGAGCTCTTGACGTAGAACCCGGATCTCTTCACGCGCGAGCAGCTCAAATTGGATCGGTTCACTCGCGAGTGGCTTTGCCTTGCGTTTCCCTTTCCCGGCGTCTTGGTCTTGCGCTGATCTTGTGGCCTGTGAAGGCGAAGTCGAAGTTGAGGTTGAGGGCTTGGGTTGACGGATTGGCGGCGGAGGGCTTGAAGAAGAGTGCCGGCGCTTCTTCTGCGCGCGCGGTAAAGATGAAAGAGGCGTGGCTTCGCGGGATCGGTCTTTCGGTCTTTCGGGAACTTTGAAGGGGGCTGGTGACGATCCGCGCCGGGGGCTGCGAGTAGGCAAGCGCTTTAGATAGTCGTGGGTTTCGGCTGAAAGATTCGAAACAGAAATCAATCGATCAGTAAATCTGCCGATGGCGAGAGAACGTACGGGTTTGAGGACATGCGGGGGGATAAAGACGGCACTGGTGCGATTGAGCTTGCAGTGCGATCTGGCGAGGCTTGAGGATTTGTCAGTATTTTCGGGTCGGGGTGGGACTCACGGAGGCGAACTCTCCTGCGGCAAACGTGGCTGCCTCGCGTGGGGTCATCTCCGTCAGGGTGATGTGAACAGGCCTTTTCGCGCCAGGGCCTAGGATCAGCTAGCGGGGGAGAAAAAAAAAATGGGCGACGAAATGGAAGGACGCTAGCGCTGGCTGACCTTCAGGTCCTGGGAGTGTTCGGAGAGCGGGTCCCAGTTATCGATGCTGAGCTCCTTCTTGGTGAAGGCTGATAGCAATCGATCCGAAAACCTTTCAAGAAGCTCGGGCGCCGCCTTCTCACCCTGGAGATGTGACGAATTGAGCGCGCGTAGTCGTGTCGCGCGATAGTGAGCGGCGTACCACGAAGTGGAGCACGTCGTTTTCAAGCCATCTCCCTTGCCACCACCGGCCCTCCTGGGTGAGTCCCACGTGCAAGAGCCAAGCGTCGTCCTTGACGTGCGATAGGACAATGAACCTGGAGCTTCCCCGATAGACGAGCTGCACGACTTCGTCGAGCACCGCGAAATTGTCGAGCACAGACTCTACCATGGTGGAATGGGAGTAGGGGGATGATAATGGCGGTGCCAAGCCTGCCCATCGGCGGCTGGATGCCGGCACTATGGGGCCGCGGAGTGTAAAAGTAGGCAGGCTCCCACAGACAGCCGAGTCAGTTGTTTGAAAGAGCAACCAACCAACGCCCCGCCGCCATCCTCCCCTTCGCCATCCCATCGATATGTCCGATATGGATAAACAACGCAAACTTGTCCTTGATAAGTCTCCTACCTATCGCGTCCGTATCTCCCCCTCCACCCTCCTCTCCCTTTCTTTCTCGTCATTCTCGTCGTTCTCCCCTTCCACGTCATCCGACGACATCCTCATATCTAAAGCACTCAACATTCTAACCTGAAAAGCTAGAAGGTTAGGTTATAAGAGGTGGTAGGCAGATGGTAGGTGAGATGAAAAAAATCCAAGATGTTGGGCAGGTGAGGAGCCAGGTGAGAGGCAAGGTGAAAGGCCAGGTGAGAGGCCAGGTGAGGAGGCAGGTGAGAGGCTAGGTGAGGGGCCAGGTGAGGAGTCAGGTGAGGAGACATGTGAGAAGGCAGGTGAGGAGGAAGGTGAGGAGGCAGGTAAGGAGGCAGGTGAGGAGGCAGGTGAGGAGTCAGGTGAGAGGCTAGGTGAGAGAGTACAGCCAGTGCTGGTGACATGAGGATGTCCCTGACAACTAGCAGTTGTCTGAGACGAGACACAATGTCTCAGATGTTGTGTAGTCGTCACAGATATCTTGCCTGCATCCCAGACGAGACGCAATGTCTCAGCAGTCGTCTGAGACAAGATGCGACGTCTCAGACGTCGTGCAGTCGTCACAGACGTCCTGCCTGCGTCCTAGACGAGACGCAACGTCTCAGATGTTGTGCAGTTGTCACAGACGTCCTGCCTGCATCCTAGACGAGACGCGACATCTCAGACGTCGTGCAGTCGTCACAGACGTCCTGCCTGCGTCCTAGACGAGACGCGACGTCTCAGATGTCGTGCAGTCGTCACAGACGTCCTGCCTGTGTCCTAGACGAGACGCGACGTCTCAGCAGTCGTCACAGACGTCCTGCCTGTGTCCTAGACGAGACGCGACGTCTCAGCAGTTGTCTAAGACGAGACGCGACGTCTGAGACGTCAGGCAGTCGTCACAGACGTCCTGCCTGCGTCCTAGACGAGACGCAACGTCTCAGCGGTCATCTGAGACGTCAGGCAGTCGTCACAGACGTCCTGCCTGCGTCCTAGACGAGACGCAACGTCTCAGCAGTTGTCTAAGACGAGACGCGACGTCTCAGACGTCAGGCAGTCGTCACAGACGTCCTGCCTGCGTCCTAGACGAGACGCAACGTCTCAGCAGTCGTCTGAGACGAGATGCGACGTCTTAGACGTCAGGCAGTCGTCACAGACGTCCTGCCTGCATCCTAGATGAAACGCAACGTCTCAGACATCTGGCCGTCGTCAGAGACACCTTGTTTTCACCACAGACGAGGGGGGGACGTCTCAGACGTCGTGCAGTCGTCACAGACGTCCTGCCTGCGTCCTAGACGAGACGCGACGTCTCAGACATCATGCAGTCGTCACAGACGTCCTGCCTGCGTCCTAGACGAGACGCAACGTCTCAGCGGTCATCTGAGACGTCAGGCAGTCGTCACAGACGTCCTGCCTGCGTCCTAGACGAGACGCAACGTCTCAGCAGTTGTCTAAGACGAGACGCGACGTCTCAGACGTCAGGCAGTCGTCACAGACGTCCTGCCTGCGTCCTAGACGAGACGCAACGTCTCAGCGGTCATCTGAGACGTCAGGCAGTCGTCACAGACGTCCTGCCTGCGTCCTAGACGAGACGCAACGTCTCAGCAGTCGTCTGAGACGAGATGCGACGTCTTAGACGTCAGGCAGTCGTCACAGACGTCCTGCCTGCATTCTAGATGAAACGCAACGTCTCAGACATCTGGCCGTCGTCAGAGACACCTTGTTTTCACCACAGACGAGGGGGGGACGTCTCAGACGTCGTGCAGTCGTCACAGACGTCCTGCCTGCGTCCTAGACGAGACGCGACGTCTCAGACATCATGCAGTCGTCACAGACGTCCTGCCTGCGTCCTAGACGAGACGCGACGTCTCAGATGTCGTGCAGTCGTCTCAGACATTGCGCAGCCGTCACAGACGTCCTGCCTGCGTCCTAGACGAAACGCAACGTCTCAGACATCTGGCCATCGTCAGAGACACCTTGTTTTCACCACAGACGAGGGGGGGACGTCTCAGACGTCGTGCAGTCTTAGGTTAGGTTAGGTTAGGTTAGGTTAGGTTAGGTTAGGTTAGGTTAGGTTAGGTTAGGTTAGGTTAGGTTAGGTTAGGTTAGGTTAGGTTAGGTTAGGTTAGGTTAGGTTAGGTTAGGTTAGGTTAGGTTAGGTTAGGTTAGGTTAG